GATGGGTGGATTGATGGGTGGATGGGTGGATGGGTGGATGGGTGGATGGGTGGGTGGATGGATGGGTAGATGGATGGATGGGTGGATTGATGGGTAGATGGGTGGATGGACGGACAGATGGGTGGATGGATGGATAGGTGAATGGAGGAAGGATGGGTGGATAGATGGATGTAGGTGAACGAACAGATGAGTGGATAGGAAAATACATCAACAAACCAACAAACAGAAGATATAGTTGAAGGAATAAATCAAAAATTCAACACAAACCAAAAACACACTCTGGTTCTGCTGCCTGGGCCCTCGCTGGGAAGACAGGTGTTGCCCCCACCCCACCCCACCAGGCTGCCCTCCTTGGCACCGTGCGGAAGTGAGGAGGAGAGAGGAAGGAGGAAGGGTGGGTGCTCGTCCGGGACTCACCTTCCAGAATGACAGTGACGGGGTTGGGCCGGAAGCCCTCACCACCCGGGCACAAAGTTCTGTACTCAGCTGCAAGGGAAAGGGCTCCCGTGAGGGGCTGGGGGAGTGGTGAGCAAAGTCCAGGGTGAGGGGATCCCTTGGAAAGGGCTCAAGACTGGGAGGCTCTGCTGTGTCAATCACATCTGCTCATCTCTGTCGTCTCTTGGGGCCAAGAGCCCTTGGCCAGTCTCATGGCTGCCTGGGGACTCTGTATGTGTGTGTGTGAGCATGGGTGTGTGCAAACGTGCACTCACACCCACCATGTAAGCAGAGTGATTATGAGGTAGCAGCTTTGCACATGCTGTTCCTACTGCACTGCACAACTTCCCCCTACTTTCTAGGAAAACTCCTACTCATCCTTCAAAACCTCTCTTAGGCCTCCTCTTATGGGAAACTCCCCTTCCCCTTTCCTCTCCATGGCTTCCTCCTGAGCCATCACTAAGCTTCAAAGAGACCCTTAAAACAGGCTGACTTTCACAGCAGCTGTGGCTTACCCTTCTCTGGTTCCCTAGCCCCATAGCACAAGGCAGCACTCAATGTTTGTTGACTGACTCAGCAATAGGTACAAATGCACAGAGGACAGTGACCTTAGAGAGGGGCCTGGCCCATGCACTGCCCCAAGCTTGCTGTGCAACCAGGATGGGCTCCTCTCCCCTCCGGTTCGGTTTCCCTGTCCCCTGGAGCCTTCTGTTGGCAGAGCTGGTCCTTTGTTCCTTGGGGCCCAGCGCTGGCTCTGCGGAGGAACTCACTGGAGTTGGCCATCGGGCACAGCTCGCAGGGGGCGCCCCACGCCCGGCCCAGGGAGCAGCAGCAGGAGGCTCGGGTGACACCGACTCCGACCTCGGCACCGCAGGAGAGGCCCCCATCCCCGCGGTCGTGCGTGTCCAGGAAACAGCTCCCGGCCCGGGGATCTGCACATGCGGAAAGCCGTGGTCAGCAGCTGCTGGAGCAGAAACTGTGTCCGTGCATACGTGTGCTGTGAGCTGTGTCCACACACGTGTAGATGCAATCTCCATGTGCCATTGTGTGTGCACATGCTTCTGAGTGCAACTGCCGTCTCCACATTTCTAAGCGCGCGCCTCTGCGTCTCTGCACGTAACCGCGTCCGCGCCCCCGCGTCTCTGCACGTAACAACGTCCGCGCCCCCGCGTCCCTGTACGTAAACACGTCTGCGACCCCGCGTGTCTGCACGTAACAGCGTCCGCGCCCCCGCGCTCCCACGTCTCTGCACGTAACCGCGTCCGTGCTCCCGCGTCTCTGCACGTAACGGCGTCCGCGCCCCCGCGTCTCTGCACGTAGCGGCGTCCGCGCCCCCGCGTCTCTGCATGTAACTGTGTGTCTGTGTGGACCTGCTGGCTCCTATTGCGGGTCTCTAAGTATAAGTGTCGTGTCTTGCATGCGGTCTTGACCCGACGTGTGACTGTCAGTCTTTGTCACTGTGTGTGCCTGTGACTCATGCATGTGTTTGCGACACATGTGCGTGTGTGTGCCGTGACTCCTGTGCGCGCACGTGTGTGGGTGGGGTGCATGAGTGTCCCAGAAGGGGGTGAACAAGGAACCTGCTACAGAGCCAAGCAGGGAAGGTGTGTGTGACATTGCGCAGTTGTGCACGTGTGTGGCTGTGCACCTGAGTGCAGACAGAAGGTGCACTGCCGCAGCTGACAGGGGCCATCACTCCCCAGCCAGTGCCGCCACCCAGGCCACCCCAGGCTGGCAGCTGAGCCAAGCACGGACTCACCCACGCAGCCCACCCCGCTGGGGTTCAGCTCGAAGTCCTGGGGGCAGTGGCAGAGGTAGCCCCCGGCGGTGTTGACGCAGAGGCCGTTGATGCAGTTCACGGGGTCCGCACACTCATTTATGTCTGGGGGTGCGAGTGCGGCCATCAGCAGGGAGCCCTCCTCCCCCCAGCTCCCTCCCCAGCTCCACCTGGGAAGCCACAGCCTTTCCTGGGGCCCACCATTGCG